CTAGTGGCGTCCGGGAAATGTCCGGCCCCTCTCCGCGTACTGGTTTTGTGCACACAGGGTTCCCAGGGTACGGGTTTTCCCTTGGGTTGTTTTTCAACATGTTGCTCTCGCTGAAGCACTGGCCTCATTTCCGGGCTACCGCTCGTTCCGAATCGTGCTCCCACTGTAGCGCTGACCTCATTTCTGCGCTTCCGCTCGTTCCGAATCGTGCTCCCGCTGCAGCGTTGGTGTCATTATTTCCAGCCCCATGCCACGGCATAGTTTTCGGTCCTTCCAAATATGCCCCAACATCTAGAACATGCCCCCCGACAAAAACCATCGGAAGTGACTACACATTCAGCGTCGATTCGTTGGTTTTTGGGGCCGCAGAAGCCCCTACTTTGGGGCGTCGCCACGCCATGCTATGTCAGGCTACGCGTCCTCATTTCTGCGCTTCTGCGTTTGTTTTTGTTCAAATTGCTGCTCTCGCTGAAGCGCTGGCCTCATTTCCGGGCTACCGCTCGTTCCGAATCGTGCTCCCGCTGCAGCGCTTGCCTCATTTCCGCGCTTCCGATCGTTCCGAATCGTGTTCCCGCTGCAGCGCTGGTGTCATTATTTCCAGCCCCATGACACGGCATAGTGTTCGGTCCTTCCAAGTATGCCCCTAAATCTAGAAAATGGCCTCCCGAAGAAGCCATCGGAAGTGACTCCACTTTCGGTGTCGATTCGTTCATTTCTGGGGCCGCAGACCCCTCTCTTTGGGGCGTCGCCACGCCATACTATGTCATGCTACGTGTTGATATTAAACGCCATGATATGCCATGTAATGCTATGCCATGCTACGACATCCGAGTGTGCGAATAGAGGGGATATCTGCGCCATGGTAAGTGATGGGAGGGAGGGGTAGGACGTCGGATATGACGGGAGCGCACCTAGCGTGTCCTCCTCCCCCTCCTCCTCCTCCTCCTCCTCCTCCTCCTCCCCCTCCTCATCTTTCTCCTCCTCCTCCTCCTCCTCCTCCTCCTCCTCCTCCTCCTCCTCTCCTCCTCTTTCTCCTCCTCCTATTTCTCCTCCTTCTCCTTCTCCTACTCCTCCTCCTCCTCCTCATCCCCAGGCCCCCTCGCGTCGTGAACAAAATCGCGGCGGGAGGTTTTTCGCTATTTTCGGCCTCCAGGGGCCCCTGCCGGGCCTCAGGAGCGTTAAAGAACGACTCAGGATGAGAACCCGGTCCCGCCCGGGGAGGGGGTCCAGACCTCTGGGGCTCAAGGGTGTGAGAAAATCACGACGTCGGGGGTCTGGGGACGGTGGTCCATGCCAACGGAGGCCAGTCAGAACGCCAGATTTTGCAGGAGCGCCAGGGGTGCATTGACCCAGGCGTGCGTGCGTGCAGGATCCTTCAGAATCGTGCAAGGCCTGACTTACCCGGGTTGGCATCGACCCGGGCCAGTAGGTCCCCGACTGGTGCTGAAGGCTCGCATCCTTGGCCCGAGTCGGCGGCGAGCGAGGGGGGGAAGCGAGAAGGAGCAGGCCTTCGCAGAGGGTGGCGGGACTTCTCAGAAGCCCTCGCGCCTTCTGAAAGGTTTTTTTTCCCAGACGCGCGAGGTCCGGATTTTTTCAGGACGGCGTCCCTGGAAGTCCCGACCCTTTCCCCGGGACCGGCTTTTCGTCCCGAGTCGTTTCTTGACGCTCCGGGGGCCCGGCGAGGGCCCCCAGGGGCCGAAAAAAGCGACAAGCTCCCGTGCGACGAGAAGAGGTCTGGTGTCGGACAGTTTCTCGGATGGCCCGGGGGACTTCCGAGCCTTCTGCGAGGGCCCGCCCCGTCGCACTTCCCCCCCCCCCCAGCGCGCGCCGCCGAGCGACGGCGGAGCGCGGTGCGCGAAGTGACAGGCGGCCTGGATCGCTCCAGCGCGGAGGGAGGCGCCAGAGCGCGGGGCCTGCCGCGGTCTTCGTCCGGCGTCCCAGAGCGCAGAGGCCGACGACCTCCAGAAACCGAAGGGTTCGTTTTGTTTTGTGTTTGTGTCGAGTCCATGCTGTCGGAATCTGGATCATTTACCTTTATACCATCGTGTCTGGGTCCTCAAGAGGACCCAGACACGATCGCGCCGTAAAACAAAAATCAGGACGGCAAAACTCTTTCGCTAGTTCTGGCCCCTGGGGGCCCTCGCCGCTCCCCCGGGAGCGTCAAGGAGCGATTCGGGAGGAGAAATCGGCCCTGGGGACAGGGGTCGCGACTTCCGGGGACGCCGTATGGCAAGCATCGGGACGTCGCGTGTCCGGGGAGTGACCGCCTCTGATCGAGGAGTGGCGAAGCGCCCCCGCCTGCCCATTAGGACCCGCCGGCGAGTATTCTAAGGACCTTCCCGTAGCTTGCACAGAGAAGCTCTGGGTCGTGTTCGGCCGAGATGGTCTTGCTGTGATGCATCGGTTCCATGCTCCAAGAACGTTGTTTTGGTGGGCCTGTAGGAGGGAGCGCTGGGACGGTCGGTCCTTGTCCAATCCTGGGCGTGGAAGGGGCCGCAGGGCTCTCGTGAGTGATCAGGGTCCTGTTTGTGTTCCAAGTCCCCCTCCGGGCCTTCAGGTGAGAGTCGCCGGTGATCGAATCATCCGTTCTCTGCTCCCCGCCTCCGCCACCTCGCCTCCTCTCCCGTCGCCACGACCGAACTGGAGCTGAAGCTTGTGTACTCGAGCACATCGCGCGCGTTATGTGGCCTCCAACCCACCCACCCACCCAGTAGAGAACACAACGCCCTCCGCTTCACCCATCCCCCGCTGCAGCAACGCCTGTTGTCTCACGCGCAGGTCTGCTGTTTGCAGTGCGCGCGACGTGTTGTGCTAGGTCCGTGCCAGCGGACCCACCCGGCCACCCAGCCACATAACGCGCGTTAGGTGGTTTCAAAAACCTTGAGCTCCTGAGCGATCTACATGCTTCCCGCGGCAGCTGGCCCATGCCAGAAACCGGGCGGCGGAGGAGGCCACGAGAAGGCGCGAGGCGGCGGCTATCAGAGTAAAGAGGACCCGCGAGCCACCAGGGAACTCCTCAGGGGCAAACAAAAAAAAGCTTGAACTCCTGGCCTGCGATGCGTGTGTCTGCGACACAGGTCTGCGGGTGCCTGCGGCCACGGCGCTGCAGCCAGCGCGTGCTGGCACGAGTGGCGCGCGCACCTCCCAGGCCACGCCGGCTCGAGCCGGAGGCCCGCGGGCCACACCCCGACAGGAAGGTCAGCGGTCCTAGCGGACCCCTGAAGTTAAGCCGGCGGGAATGTTCAACAATAGTCAAAAAATAGTCTGGGAATTATTTTGTAAAATTGCTGTTTGATTTGGTTTGAGGATTTTCGCTGGTATGTTGTGTTTTTCGTCCAGAATCCGCCTGTCGGAGGACATGCCCGACCTAACCCGAAAGGGGCCCCAAAGTGGTACCTCTATAGGACCTCTGGAGGAGCTCCTGTATGGTTTTTGAGGTGCACCTTGGAGCCCCTAGAGGTGCCTTTTTGCATCAGCGCAGCAATCAGCCAAGGAAAGGTTGTATGCCTAAAGGCGCCCTTTTTGTGCTCCTCAGGGGCCTTGAATGGGGCCCCTTTGCACGGCCCCCAAGGGGCACATGAGGCTCACCTTTTGCTGCACCCCCCCAGGTCCGAAGCCAGGCGAAGGCTGGCAAACCCGTGGCCCCTTACAACGGAGCTCCGGGAAAGTGTTATTGTTTCTTCCGGAAACCACCCCGCTTATTCTTTAGCGCGCCGAGTTTTATTCTGGGAAATTGTTTTTTCCTCCCCGGAAAGACCGTTTTAGCAGCCACGGATTTGCCAGCCCTCGCCCAGCTTCCGACCAGGGAATCCTCCCCCGGAGCAGCGCCCAAGCAGAGCAGAGCGCGGACGCGCCGTGCCGCCCCGCTCGTGGACGCAGACACGCTCGCCTCGTGCAGAAAATATCGCGACGGAAGGTTCTGGGCCGTTTCGGCCCCCCGGGGGCCCTCGCGGGGCCCAGGGACCGTCCACGAAACGAGCCAGGAGGAAAAGCGGGCCCATGGGGGGGGGTGCGTCGAGACTTCCCCAGACACAGGCGATGCACGTCCTGCATCTGTGAACACGCGGCCCCCTGGAGGTCTCGACGCACTCTGCCCAGGGCCGGCTTTCTCATCCTGAGTGCTTTTTTGGGACAGTCCACGGCCCCGGCCAGGGCCCCCGGAGGCCGAAAACAGCCACAAACCGTCCGCCGAGATGATTGCATGACGCGGACATGTCTGCGTCTGGGGAGCGCGTATCAAACAAATCACTTTCCACCTCCTCCTCCTCCTCCTCCTCCTCCTCCTCCTCCTCCTCCTCCTCCTCCTCCTCCTCCTCCTCCTCCTCCTCCCCCTCCTCCTCCTCCTCCTCCTCCTCCTCCTCCTCCTCCTCAACATCCTCCTCCTCCATAACATCGCATGCCTGGGAAGGCCGAATTGTCGGGCCTCTGCGTGCGAGGCGCACGCCAGCGTAATTATGCACGGCAACGGCATTCGAGAGTTTGGTGCTGCCGGCGCCGCCAGGGAAGATGCCCCCCCAGACTTGCGGCGTCTTGACAAAAAGGACGGACGAGTAACAAGATGCAGATGCTGCTGATGATGATGATGATGATGCTGATGCTGATGCAGATGCTGATGATGATGATGATGATGATGATGATGATGATGATGATGATGATGATGATGATGATGATGATGATGATGATGCTGATGCTGATGCTGATGCTGATGCTGATGCAGATGCTGATGATGATGATGATGATGATGCTGATGCAGATGCTGCTGCTGATGATGATGATGATGGGGAGGAGGAGGAGGATGAGGAGGAGGAGGAGGAGCGGGGGATGGGGAGGGGAAGACGATGGAAAGGAAGAGGAGGACGATGAGGACGACGACAGGACGACGACGCCGCCGACGACGACAACGACGACGATTGGTCTGCACGCCCTCAGGTCTCCGCTGCTGCTGTGCCCCTGCCCCCCTCTCTTCGTGCACTAGGGCTCGCCCGCCCCCATCTCCCCAGGAGAGCGGCGCCACCGTCGCCGTGCCCGGCGGTGGGGACAAGGCCGCCGCCGGGGTCGTCGTCGTCGTCGTCGTCGTCGTCGTCGTCGTCGTCGTCGTCGTCGTCGTCCTCGTCGTCGTCGTCGTCGTTGGCGTCGTCGTCGTCGTCGTCGTTGTCGTCGTCGTCGTCGTCGTCGTCGTCGTCGTCGTCGTCGTCGTCACCACCGTTGTCGTCGTCGTCACCGTCGTCGTCGTCGGCGGCGGCGGCGGCGCGAGAGGGAGAGGGAGAAGGTGAGAACGAGAGAGAGAGAGAGAGAGAGCAAAGCTGGAGGAGGGACGTGGAGGAAGAGGTCGAGGAGGAGGAAGAGGAGGAGGAGGAGGAGCAAGGGAGAAGAATGATGATGAGGAGGAGGAGGTGGTGGTGAAGGGGGAGGGGGAGGGATCATTGGGAGGTGGGAGGAGGAGGTTGAGAAGGAGGAGCAGCAGATGGAGGAGGAGGAGGCGGAGGAGGAGGAGGAGGAGGAGCAGGGAGGAGCAACGGAGCAGGGAGGAGATTGAGGAGGATCGTGGAACAGGAAAGAGGGACGAGGAGGAAGAGGAGGAGGAGGAGGAGGAGGAGGAAAACGATGAGGAGAACGAGGAGGAGGAGGAGGAGGAGGAGGAGGAGGAGGAGGAGGAGGAGGAGCAGGTGGGGAGAAGAGCGAGAGTAACACGGTGTCCTTCTCTCTCCTCATGCCCCGCACCGCATTCTGGCTCCCCTTCCCTCCTCTGTCTTCCTCGTCGCGCCCGCGGCTGCCGCAACCCCCGCCGCCGCCAGCAGCAACAGCGCTGCTCCTGGCGCGCCCGCGTCCACCGCCCCCGCCCCCGCCACCACCCAGTCGGCGCCGTCCCGACGACCGCCCCCGCCTCTGCTTCCCGCCTTCTGCCTGCGCCACTGCCTGCCTGCTGCCGTTGCTGTACCCCCCCTCCCTCCCTGCGTCCACCCGAGCGCTGGGAGGGGCTCCGGCGCGCACGGGCGCGAGAGCTCTTCGCGGGGCTCGCCGCCCTTTGCAGCCTTGGGTTGCCCTCTCCCCTGTCGCCTCGTCGGTCATCCCCCCCTCCTCCTCCTCCTCCTCCTCCTCCTCCTCCTCCTCCTCCTCCTCCTCCTCCTCCTCCTCCTCCTCTGCGGATGGCGGTAGAGAGTAGTGCGGCTTGACGACGAACCCCCTGGTTACGCTTTGCCTCCTCCTCCTCCTCCTCCTCTGCGACCGTGTCTTCGTCGTCGTCCTCCTCCTCCGCACCTCTTGGGCTGGTGCAGGGCCATTCTTGTGCCGACGCTCCTCGCGTGGGGCCTCTCGGAATGGGTAACCAATCCGGAGTTGCCCGTGCCGTGGGCGTGTGTGTGTGTGTGTGTGTGTGTGTGTGTGTGTAGGTCAGAGGTCGATTGGTTCATCGTCTTTCTCATCTCTCCGCCCTCTTCCATCCTCGCTGCTCCGAGTCATCCTCCCTTCTCTTCGTCGTCGACGTCGCAGTCCCTCTCCTGCATCCTCCCCTGTGTCATGTAACTTTTCCTCGCTGCACCACCTGACGTGTCGGTATTGAGGGTTGGGTATGTTGCTTCAGGCTACCGCGCCCAACTGTTGCAGAGATGGGGGTTCGGGTCGTTTTCAACATGCGGCTCTTGCATTCGAGTCATTCGAGCCGTGCGCATGCAGTGCTTTACGTTTGCACCAGCTGCGCGGGTGAAGAGCGGTTTTGGTGTTCTAGAGGTGGCCCCCGCTTTAGCGCTGGACATTTCAGAAATCCCCAAAGGGGGTTTCGCGCATTCGCACAGGTGGTGGGCGCATCTTGTCCACAGTGGGGCTCCTTCTGAGCACTTCCGCAGGCACTATGACCGAGCACGTAGGAATGCGCTTCAATGTCTGAAGTGCGTCTCTCGATTGCCATTGCCACGGCCTTACGGCCAGTGCCGCCGGCCCTGAAGGGGAACGACGACGACGACGACGACGACGACGACGACGACGACCACCACCACCACCACCACCACGACGACGACGACGACGACGACGGCGACGACCACAACGACGACGACGACGACGACGACGACGACGACGACGACGACGACGACGACACGACGACGACGACGACGACGACGACGACGACGACGACGACGACGACGACGACGACGACGACGACGACGACGACGACGACGACGACGACGACGACGACGACGACGACGACGACGACGACGACGACGACGACGACGACGACGACGACGACGACGACGACGACGACGACGACGACGGCGGCAGCGGCGGCGGCGGCGGCGGCGGCCGCGGCTGCGGCGACGAGGCCGCGGCGGCTGCGGCGGCGGCGGCGACGGCCGCGGCTGCGGCGATGGCCACGGCGACGGCGACGACGAGGAGCCCCCAGGTGCAGAAGGGCATGCGCCTTCCCCTCCCCCTGTTTCGGGTGTTGCTAGAAGTACCCCTGGGCCAAGGTACCCCTAGGATTCTCGGGGTGGCCAAGACGGCCTCCAGGGCACCCCTCACGAGGGCCAGGGGGCCCCAAGGGCTCCAAAGTGGAGCGAAAAGCTGGGGGCACCTTGGGCCAGGGGCACTTCTAGCAACACCCGACTGTTGCGCCCTCCCTCCCCCGCCCAATTGCGCCGTTGTTGCGCTTCCCTCGCCCTGTTTCGCCCCCCCCCCCCCCGGCGCTCCCGCTCGAGCGTTGCGCGGTTGCGGTTGCGACCCTCCCCCCCCGCAATTCCTCCCGGGGTACCAGAATCACGTCCTCGTCAACAACAACAACAACAACAACAACAACAACAACAACAACAACAACAACAACACCACCAACAACAACAACAACCACAACAACAACAACACCAACAACTACAACAGCAGCAGCAACGGCAACAACAGCAACATCAACAACAACCATTACAACAACAGCAACAACCGAAAACCATTTACAACATGAGTGACCATGTCCATGATCTTCGCCTGTTGGGGCCCGCTTCGAGGTCCTCCTGAAGCCCTCTCGACGACGACGACGACGACGACGACGACGAAAGCGAACAAGCTTATTGCGGCGCTCGCTTGGTTTTTCCGATGTCCGCCTTGAATAATACATTTGAAAATCCCCACGGCTACAAGAACAGAGGGCGATGTCTTTCAAAATGGCCCTCTGGCCTGAACTGCGGGCCCGTCGGGCGCCCGTCTTTTATTCAACTTGACGTTTCCCGTTGTGAGAGGATTGCTTGCAGATACCTCTGGGGAGGGAGCTCGGGATGGGCAAGTGAATTGGAAAATCGTTGATGCATCCCAGGTTCCCTTCTGGGCCTCCTCCTCACCTCCTCCTCCTCCTCCTCCTCCTCCTCCTCCTCCTCCGCCTCCTCTCAAGCCATATAGGCTCAAGCATTTTGCCTGGGCCGACTCTCGTACCTGCTCGTCGGTGCTTGAGGCATTCCGAACCAACAGCCCTCAGAGTGAGGTCGCTTTTTTCGGCAACCAAAGCGAGAGTTTCAGAAAGAAGATGGCTCGTGGCTCTGCCGCCGCCGCCTTGCACAGTGATTCTCAGGTCAGTGGCTGGAGCCGCTGCGCCAGCTGCGGGCGCTACGAATGGAACTCAGTCCTCTTGGCCAGTTCCTGCAAGTGCCCCAAGTGCTCGCGCAAGGTGAAGTTGTACCAGCCCAAAGGCACCAGCCAGTCCCAGAATCAGCAGGGCGGCGCCAGTGTCCCCCAGTCGCCTAGCCCCGTGAACGAGCTCGCCGCGCTGAAGAGCCTGGTGGACTCCACGGCCAACTCGCAGCTCAAGACCTTGATGCTGCAGGGCATCGCCCACATAGAGTCCAACTTGGAATCCACTGCCCCTCTGTTGTGAGGCGATTCTATAGGAGGGGGAACAGGAGGCAAGTCGTTTGCACAGTTGGGAGGAATTAGTGAATTCAGAGGGGGTCGGGCTTGCAGTATCTCGAAGATGGTTCGCGCCCTACAGGCGCCAACATCTGGCATATATGCTGACCGATGGCCTTTCGCTGCTCGTCGTCCGCATCGCCCTTGCTTCCTCCTCCTTTTCCTGTCTCTCCGCAGGGTCTTCTCGGAACTATCCGTAAAACGAGCGGCGCAGTGCCTCTCCCCTCCTCCCTCCCCCGTAGCCCTCGCTCGTCTTCCCTCCTCCCCGCCGCCGTTCAGTCTTCCTCCCGCTCTCGCCTTCCTTGCCCGTTGCAGGATGTGTTGGACTGTCCAACACATCCTCCGAGATGTTGGACCCGTCGGCAGGGGCAGCGTTAGAGGCGGCGCGCAAGGCCATGGGAGCCTGGAAGGACGCGGACCACAAGCACACCCAGAGTGTCAATAACGTCATCAAGCTCAGGACCGCCCTAGCTCACGCGGAGGAGAAGGAGCAGAAGGCAGCAGAGGTTCTGGCAGCGGCTGAAGAAGCCAAACAGCAAGCAGCAGCCCTTTTCGCCAAGATAGAGGGCATCACCAACGTGGAGCAGCAGGCCGATTCAAAGGGGAACGGCAACGAGCAGCAGCACACGCCGAACATGACCTTGACCTGGGACGAGTCGCTCTTCCAGCAGGCTGAGGACATGGAGATCGAGCAGTCCGAAAAGGATCAGCTGAAGCAGTTGCATTCAGACCTTCTGGCGTTCCGAGAGTTGTTGGACTCCAAGAACACGGAGGTCAAGCAGAAGTTAGAGCAGGCCGCTGCCATCAACAGGAGCGTCGCAGAGCGCATGAAGAAAAAGCGTCGTGGTGCAGACGGTGAGGCCCAAGCTCCTGAGCCTCAGGAGCCCCAGCCTGCGAAGGAGGCCTCGCCCAAGACGCCCGAGCAGATCGCCAAGGAGACCGAGGAGGTCAAGTCAGCCGCCGAGGCCAAAGAGAGGCAGAAGAAGGAGACCGCCGCCAAGATCTCCCGTGCCAAGTTCGAGGCCCAGGCCATCGCCAAGGGCAAGGGAGCAGCTGGTGGTGCAGGCATGGGCGCTGGCAAGGGCCCATCGCCGCCTCAGGCCGCGGCTTGACTAGGCACCTCGATGCCAGTCGCCGCCGCCGCCGAGGCAGGCAGCCCTGCCCACCA